CCCCCGCACCCCGGCCCGCGTTGCAATTCTCGCATGGCAACTAATCAAGCATGACATCCGATCCTTTTTTCCAAAAAAAAAAGAAGAAAAAAGGTTTCGGGGGGAAGTTCGGCGATTCCCACGCACACCCGCATTGTGATTCTAGCATGGCGACCAATCCAACATGGCAACCGATCGTTTTTTCGGAAAAAAACAAACAGGTTGGGGGGAGAAGGGAGATCGGCGATTCCCACCCCCACCCTCGTTGCGATTATAGCATGGCAACTAATCAAGCGTGACAACTGATCCTTTTTTCGAAAAAAAAAAAAAAAAAAAAGGTTGTGGGGGGGAGAGATCGGCGATTCCCACCCCCACCCTCATTGCGATTCTAGCATGGCAACTAATCAAGCGTGACAACCGATCCTTTTTCCCAAAAAAAAAAAAAAAGGTTGGGGGGGAGATCGACGATTCCCACCCCCACCCGCATTGTGATTCTAGCATGGCATCTAATCAAGCGTGACAACCGATCCTTTCCCCCCCCAAAAAAAAAAAGGTTGGGGGGGGAGATCGGAGATTCCCAACCCCACCCGCATTGTGATTCTAGCATGGCAACCAATCAAGCATGAGAATCTTACCAGTAGCAGCCATTATGGAGCAACTGACCTCCCGCGATCTTGGGGGGGCCCACAACGCACAAAATCAACACAGTGACCGCAAGAGAAATACTAGTTGATCGTGGTGTCTTGAGCACGCAAAATAAACGCAGTGACCAGAGTCGACCGTGGTGGCTTGAGCACACGAATCAAACGCAGTGAACACACGAAATGAATTCGGTGGCTTGAACACAACGAAATCAACCAGCAATAAGAATGCCGACAACAAAGGGGGCGACACCATTGTAACAGGCCAGAACCAGAAAAAGAGGTCCGGTACCACCGAAAGAGGCCGACACCAATAGAACAGGCCGGTAGCGGCGAAAAAGAGACCGGCACCAACGGCACGGCCCGACGTCCTCGAACGGGAAAAAGCTGGCACCAACAACCCAGGCCCGAAAAAAAAAAACAAAAAACTGCGTACCAAAACCCACCCGTGCATGTAGGGAGTTGTCATTTGCGACGTTATTTCCGAGCGGCATGCACAGCAAGCACCGCGCCCATTGAACATTGAGCAGTGCGCCCATTGAACATCGAGCAGCGCACCCATTCACCTTTCAACAGCGCGCCCATTCACCATTGACCAGCGTGGCCACTGAACATTGAGCACCGCCAGACGACGCCAGTTGGGCAGCGACCATCGCCCGTACAGCACCAAGCACCAACGCGCCGTCAGGTAAGAGACAAACTCTCTCTCTCTCTCTCTCTCTCTCTCTCTCTCTCTCTCTCTCTCTCTCTCTCTCTCTCTCTCTCTCTCTCTCTCTCTCTCTCGGGGCCTTGGCGAGGTTGGCCAGGATGTCGAGTGGTCAATGGAGGGTTTATCTCTCTGCTGAGTACCCCCGACTCAGGAAATTTCTGGGTCGAAGGGAAGTATGAAAAAATGGGTTGCAGATCCAATGTATTCTAGTTTTTTAATTTGTTTAGTGTGGCGGGAAAGTTTTTTTACCTTTTTTTACCCTTTATTTTAATTTTATTTTTCGGAACCAATTTTGAATTTTTGATAAAGATCCAGTTGAGTACCCGGGTGAGGTTTTTTGGGATACGTGTAGAGATATGCAGCGTCGGCTATGTCCGCTTCAGTTTGGGTCCTCGGGAACTCGAGGTGAGGGGTCGCGCTCGCGCGGTAGCCGGGTTAATTTTGGGATGACGAAGATGGTGGGAGGAGGACGTGCAGGATCGTGAAGGCTGAGAGGCATAGAGGGTTTGGCCGACGCAACGAGGCAGCGTGCAGAGCCCGGAAGGAGGGGATCCTATTGTTGGAAAGTGGAGGAAAGTTGTAGGGAGAAGAATCGAACCAGCGCGATGTTGTCACGTAAGACGGGTAGGAGAATGAGACGAGGGAATGGGGAAGGGAGAAAAAGCACGAGAGGACGACAACGGGAGAAACGAGGAGGAGATGGGCAAGGAGAGTATGTGGGAGACGAAGAGGAAGAAGGAGTGATAGTGGAAAAGAAGAAAAAAAGGAAAAAAAGGTAAGGAAGGCGGGAGGTTGGCCGGTTAGATGAACAGGTGAAAAGCACACGTGTGTATTAGGGGAAGAGGGAGTAGGTGGGATAGGCGGTGCATGAAGTAAGGAGGACTTGAATAGAGGATTAGGTGGGGATAGTAGACGGTAGGACTGGATTTTAGGAGAAGTGGGGGATTAGGTGGCGGGCTTAGGACGGGCACTGAGACTATAAGGACTGCTGGAGGAGGAGCACAATATCTCGATTCAGTGGGAAGGAAGAAGCCCCCTGATGAGTCCGCTGCATACGCCAGCGGTGAAACGCGTAGGGGCGATGCGTATGTGTGATGTGTTTACATGAGTTTTCAAATGTGTATGAATCGATAAATTTTTGAGTTGGAGTGTGCGTGATGGTGGTTATGGTGCAGTTCTTCTCTCTCATTCTCTGTCTCCGAACTTTCTTTATTCTCATCGAACGTGGTAACCGGTTATGGTTGACGTCTCACGGTGGCTACGGCTTATGTTCGGTGTGTCCCGCAGCGTGATCGTCCTCGGTAGCATCGTATGTGGCAAGGAGGATCTTGATTGTTCGGTGGTATGAGGAGCATCACGGCGTGATCGTCCTCGGCTGTTATGACGAGCAGGTAAGCGTGATCGTTTTCGGGATGAAGAGAACTGCGGTAAGGGGTGAGGAGCGTGTTCTTCTTCGCGCACGGTGGCTACGGCCTATCACGGAAGCGTGATCGTTTTCGATTACTGCGGCAGCTTCGTCTTATGATTTCGTACGTCCCTCGGCGTGATGCGGTAAGATATGGTGAAGAAGGGTATAGCACGGTTTAGAGTGGTGGTTGGTCATGTATGTGTGCTCGTGCTCAGCGTATGCGGTATATCGATGGTGTGGCAGTTTGGGAAGAAGAGTGACAAGAGTGTGTGGGAAGTCGAAGTGCGCATTAGAGTTACTTATGACCGAAGGTAGAAGCGAGGGGGATGACGGACATGAATTTTAGGGAAGCGGAGTTTGATAGGTTATGGTTAGATCTTGAGAGGATTATCTACGATAGTGTAGTACCTTTGATTTTCGTTGTACTAGAATTTAGGGACGAGAGCTCGAGGGAGGAGTTGGTGAGCAAGCTCGAAAGGTGCCTAGGGAAACTGTACAGCGTGGGGTGTGTGGTAAGAGATAGGAGGAGGAGGAGGAGGAGACAGTGGAGGAGGAGAGGCGAACGGTGAGAAAGATGCAGAACGGTGCATTTCCCCAGATGCAGAACGGGGGGGTTCCTCAGATCTAAGGATACGGGGGTGGGGTTGGTGGTGGAAATCAATTTGGGATTGTATCGTGTGATCTGTGCGGAAAGGCCGACCACTACGCGTGGAATTGTTGGGCAGGGGGGAATGGAAGGCCTCCAGCTCAACAGCATCCTAACGTAATGGCGGCAGCAGTCGATGACGAAACAAAGGAAATGCGTGAGTATTTCCGGGAGAAGATTAGGAAGAGGAAACTTGAGGAGGAGAGGAAGGGGAGGGAAAAGGAGGATAAACGGCGGAGAGAGGAGAAAAACAGGAGGGAACAGGAAAGGATGAGGGAGGCAGATATGAGAGAGGCTCGATTAGAGGCTAAGCTGGTTCGTATGCTTGCGCAACATAATCGGTCGAATGCGAAGGCAGAGAGCTCCTGGGTTAAGAAGAAATCACCTAGAATGAAAGCTAGAGTCATTCGAGAAATACGCAGTTATTTGGATGAGTCCGAGGACGACAGCAAGGAGGTTAAAGAGGAAGTAGGGAAGCTTGTTGAGGCTATCGAGAGAAGGAAGGGGAAGGCCAAGATGCTTGGGGAGGAAGGAAGGATTTCGAGAATCCCGAGGCGCGGGAACAGGGGCGACCCGGTAAGGATCGACGATGACGAAGAGATTCGGACACCTCCGCCTGTTAAGAAGGAACCAGAGGTGGGCATGGCGGACCCCAGGATGCTGGATTTTGTGATTGAAATGCATAGGCACCTGTCGGCTAAGAAGGTGCCCGAGTTGCGAAAGCTATGTAACGAGGAGGGGATCGAGTGGTCACGAAAGGATGTAGCTGTCGGGGAGCTTGTGAAGTGCAGGGCAAAACTGGCCTACGAGGAGTTCAGCGAAAGCGGAAGGATTTCTCCGTTGTTTGAGAAGTGAAGGAGGTCAGTATGGAAGAGGTGAAGAGGATTATGTTAGCACGGGGAGGGAGGGTGAATGATCACCGGGAGGTATTGAATACAGTCCAGGAAGATCAGATATTTAGGATATTTCTCTTGTGTGTTATCCGAGGAGATTGTCTGTGGGGAAGGAAGTGGGTGGGTCTGGTTAGTGGTGAAGAAGGGGAGCTTTCTACACGAGATCCAGGGGTGTATGCATTAGTAAGCCCATGGTATCGACATTTCTACATCGGTTGCCCACGCAGACCGTAATCAAGAGGTGGTCCGATCACGTTAAGCTAGCGACGAGCGGCGTTATAGGAAATGCTCCGAAGTTACATGCTTGGCTTCAAATTTTTGGATGGGAGAAATATCTGGTCATTCCTTTGGTAAGTGGGATTCAGGATCTGGGCTTTCTCGAGAGGGCGATGATCCGTAGATTTTCACCATCTCTGAATATGCAGGGTATGGGAAGAGAAGTGAGAAAGGCAAAGAGGAGGAGAGGGAAAAGGGAAAGGGGGAAGAGGGGGTCACACGTGTGTGGGGGAGCGATGATTAAGTTCGATGATCGGGTCTCACTCGTCGATCTACTGAAGGAAATGAAAGGGAAACGTGGGGTACACCATATAAAGGTGTCAGGAGGGACGATATGGGGTGATAAGTGAAAAGTGGTGCGGGATAAAGTGGGAGAGAGCGTGATAATGGTAGGGGAGGTGAGGAGACCCGTGAAGGAATGTAAGCAGGTTTTGGAGGGTGGTGGTAGATTTCAGGTGGTGAAGGTGAAGGTATTACTATCCGGTATCGAACATCGGAAGTATATTCTGAGGGATATCATGGTGTAGCCATGGAGGTTACGCACGTTGTATAGCAAGAGCTCCCATGAGTTAGTTGCGCTGTACCCGACCGCGGGTCTCTTTTCAGAGAAGAGCAGTAGGTATCACCTGAAGAATGTCCTGATACGGATCGTGAAGCGGAAATATGGACAGGAGATTCGAAGGAAACCATGTGTGAAGGTACCATTCTCTCCGAACATAAACCTGGATGCAGTGAAACAGGTAGCGGCCGAGTTCGTTTAGAGTGTTGTGGTGGATCAAGATATTGCGCGTTTCATAGCAGGAAGGGTGAGGGTAGTGGTGAGAAGAGAATGAACGTCGGTATGATCATCCATAATCATTCGAACGTTGCAGATGAGAGGGAGGTTGTGTGTACATGCGGTCACTTGGATCTGCCCAGAACCGACAGCCACGTAAAGGTGAGGCTGTGTGACATGGATGACTTACGAGCTTTTGTGAAGAATTCGAAGAACGTGACGTACGGGTGCAGCGTGTCGCCGGAGTCTTTGGTGGGGTGCATTGAAGAAGGAGTCAGAGGGTGGGTAAGGGGAAGCAGGATCCAATGCCCTCGCGAGATAGTCGATCGGTGCTACCGAGCGGTATGCGATGGAAAGAGGGGAGACCTGAGCGTGAATGAAGTTAGATTATGTTTTCAAGATTACAGGAATTTGGTGGCGGTTCCAATCGACAGAAATCCTGGTGCCACGCTGTTAGTTTGTCCGGTCCTTTACCTTCGTGCTTTCAAGGAGACCTTCAATTCGAATCAGAGTTTTTAGATTTGTGACAAGACAGAAGATCGGGTGCTGAAGATAGTAGCCCGGTAGCAGACAGGAGGGAAGATCGGTCGGGCCTATGTCCTTCCCAAGAACAAAGACCTGGGCCGATGGCGTCGATTTCCCCATGTGTTTCTGACCCTGCTAGATTGGCAGGAGCACGGGTAGGGAGGGCAATTAGGTACATGTTGTTTACTGTTCGAAGATCCGAGCACTTCGACCTGAGATCAACGGACGAGCTGAAGGGGAGATGCGAAACGTTTCAGAGGGAGATGAGGAAGGGTGGGGATGGAGTGCTTGCGAGAAGTTACGACATCAAGGACATGTTTGCTAAGTCGTCGCATCAAAAGGTTATGGAGGCGGTGAATTGGTTGGTAGAATATCATGAGAGGAAAGGGATGAGGGGGGTGAGGGTGAGTCAGAGAGAAAAAATGTGTGCAATGACGAAGAACCTGAGGAAGGTTGATGGGTTTGTAAGCTTGTCATTTGATGACATTATGAAGGAAGTAAAATTCGAATTATCGCAATCCTTTGTCCGTTGTGCAGGAACAATGCGGAGACAGGTCTTCGGGATTCCCATGGGGAGGAGTTCCAGCCCGTCGTTAGCATGTTTGGTATGTGCCAGATCGGAAGCGATTTTTATGAGACGTGTGATCAGGTACGGGATGGTAGTGAGGGGGGTGAGGATGATCGATGACGTAGCAGTTCTGGTTGGATTCAAAACCAACCGGCCGGGTATGGCCGGGGAAGCTGCAACGATACTCGATGAGTTTGAAGGATGCTATGATGATGTTGGTTCGGAAAGATGGTAATGGGAATGTCTTTGATTTCATAGGGGCACGTGTCTTCGTCATGATGGCACCTATTAGCATTGAGATACACCCCATGACCGGAAACCAACAGTGCCTGCGCGAGGAAGGGAAACTGAATATACAATCGTTACAGGATTTCGCCTCCTTCACAAGGAAAGCATCAAAGAAAGCCACCATATTTGCTGCGTTAATTCGGTTACATCGGATGTCGACATCGGACGAGGCTTTGAAAGCTGCAATCGCGGCTTTAATGATGGAAATACGCCTCCGGGGGTACCCCCCGGAGGTCTCTCTCGGGGCCTTGGCGAGGTTCGCCGGGATGCCGGGTGGTCAGTGGAGGGTTTATCTCTTTGCTGAGTACCCCCGACTCAGGGAATTTCTGGGTCGAAGGGAAGTATGAAAACATGGGATGCAGATCCAATGTATTCCAGTTTTTTAATTTGTTTAGTGTGGTGGGAAAGTTTTTTTACCTTTTTTTACCCTTTATTTTAATTTTAGTTTTCGGAACCAATTTTGAATTTTTGATAAAGATCCAGGTGAGTACCCGGGTGAGGTTTTTTGGGATACGTCTGGAGATATGCAGCATCGGCTGTGTCCGCTTCGGTTTGGGTCTTCGGGAACTCGAGGTGAGGGGTCGCGCTCGCGCGGTAGCCGGGTTAATTTTGGGATGACGAAGATGGTGGGAGGAGGACATGCAAGATCGCGAAGGCTGAGAGGCATAGAGGGTTTGGCCGACGCAATGAGGGAGCGTGCAAAGCCCGGAAGGAGGGGATCCTATTGTTGGAAAGTGGAGAAAAGTTGTAGGGGGAAGAATCGGACCAGCGCGATGTTGTCAGGTAAGATGGGGAGGAGAATGAGACGAGGGAATGGGGAAGGGAGAAAAAGAACGAGAGGACGACAACGAGAGAGAAGGAGGAGGAGATGGGCAAGGAGAGCATGTGGGAGACGAAGAGGAAGAAGGAGTGATAGTGGAAAAGAAGAAAAAAAGGAAAGAAAGGTAAGGAAGGCGGGAGGTTGGCCGGTTAGATGAACAGGTGAAAAGCACACATGTGTATTAGGGGAAGAGGGAGTAGGTGGGATAGGTGGTGCATGAAGTAAGGAGGACTTGAATAGAGGATTAGGTGGGGATAGTAGACGGTAGGACTGAATTTTAGGAGAAGTGGGGGATTAGGTGGCGGGTTTAGGACGCGCACTGAGACTATAAGGACTGGTGGAGGAGGAGCACAGTATCTCGATTCAGTGGGAAGGAAGAAGGCCCCTGATGAGTCCGCTGCATACGCCAGCGGTGAAACGCGTAGGGGCGATGTGTATGTGTGGTGTTTACGTGAGCTTTCAAATGTGTATGAATCGATAAATTTTCGAGTTGGAGTGTGCGTGATGGTGGTTATGGTGCAGTTCTTCTCTCGCATTCTCTGTCTCCGAATTTTCTTTATTCTCTCTCTCTCTCTCTCTCTCTCTCTCTCTCTCTCTCTCTCTCTCTCTCTCTCTCTCTCTNTCTCTCTCTCTCTCTCTCTCTCTCTCTCTCTCTCTCTCTCTCTCTCTCTCTCTCTCTCTCCGATCTCCCAACCCCCCCAATCGTTTTTTTCTTTTTCTCCTAAAACAAGGATCGGTTGTCATGCTGGATCGGTTCCCATGCTAGAATCGCAATGCGGCTGGGGTTGGAAATCGCCGATCTCCCTCCCCAATCTCTTTGTTTTTTTTTTTGGGAAAAATTGATCGGTTGCCATGTTTGATTGGTTGTCATGCTAGATTGGTTGTCATGCTAGACTCGCAATGCAGGTGGGGTTGGGAATCGCCGATCCCCCCTCCCCCCCCCCACCAACGTTTTTGCTTTTTTTTTCGTGAAAAAAGGATCGGTTGACATGGTTGATCGGTTGCCATGCTAGAATCGCAATGCGGGTGGAGGTGGGAATTGCCGATTCCCCCCCCCCAACCATTTTTTTTTTCGGAAAAAATGATCGGTTGTTATGTTTTATTGGTTCCCATGCTAGAATCGCAATGCCGGTGGGGGTGGAAAACGCTAACTCCCCCCCGCCCCCACTATTTTTTTTTGTTTTTTTCCCAAAACAAGGATCGTTTGTAACGACCATTTCATCAAAATGGACTTTTTTTTTTTTTTTGAACGAAATTGAAACCGAGTTTTTTGGCCGAAAACTCGTCCAAATTTACTGTTCCCGAGGGGGACCAGCGTTTTACAAACGCTGGACCCCCTGGCTGTACATGGACCTAGCTTGAGACCAGGCACCTCCAGGCAGGACTGCCTAGAGGTCCCTGGTGTCAAGCTAGGTCCATGTACAGCTAGGGAGTCCAGCGTTTTACAAACGCCGGATCCTCAGGAACGACATATTTTGTCGAGTTTTGGGCCAAAAAACTCGGTTTCAATTTCGTTCAAAAAATAAAAGATGTCCATTTTGACGAAATGGCAGTTTTTTCATGTTGGGTTAGTTACCATGCTAGAATCGCAATGCTGGTGGAGGTGAGAATCGCCGATCTCCCCCCCCTTCCCAGCGTATTTTTTTCCCCGGAAAAAAAGGATCGGTTGTCATGTTTGATTGTTTGCCATGCTAGAATTGCAACGTGGGTGGGATTAGGAATCGACGATCGCCCCCCCCCCTCCACCTTTTTGTTTTTTTTTGTTCCGAAAAAAAAATCGGGTCTGATAGTTGTGGGTAGGGATGAGGAAAGGGAAACATCCATTACTCTCCCCCCTTTTCTCGTTCCTTTTTTTTTATTTTGTTATTTAATTTTAATGCCGTGCAGGCCATGATTTTTCGAAAAGATGGTTGGTCGTCAAGTATCCAGTGCTTGCGCAGTTACACAAATGGAACCAGCCTCTCTCTCTCTCTCTCTCTCTCTCTCTCTCTCTCTCTCTC